GGGCTGTGCGCTGCCCCCCGGGCCCGCGCCCCGAGCCTGCCCCGCGCGGGAGCCAGCGGGCGCGGGTCCGCTCCCCCTGCAGCTTCTCTCCGCACCCCCTCCCCAAGCTGCCCCAGCCATCACACGTACGCATGTCCTTGCACACACACACGTATGCACACATATATACGTAGACACATCTGCATGCACGTATATACGCACATACAGATATATACATATATACATGTATACATGCATATATACACACATGTGTACACATACATACACATATGCATGCACACATACACATGCATATGCATACATATATACTTACACATGTATACACACATATACATACAAATATATGCATATATATACATATACATCTATACATGTACACATATACATGCACACATACACATATATGCATACATATATATTCATACACACATGTATACGCATATATACATACACATAGGCATGCACACATACACATACATATATACATACAGATACACATATCCACACATACGCCTGACTACATATATACACATGCATACTTATACATGCATACACACACATATATACATACACACAATTTGCACTTCAGGTCAAACTTCTGGGGAGATCGGGGAAGAAAAGGACGGATTTGACAAGAACACTGGTATGGGGCAAAAGACATTAGGCAACATTTCCAACATGCTTGTTCCCCCCTGATTCACAGCTTTGCGTGCAAGGTCATCACCACCTTTGTGTTCTCTAACAAGGATACATTTAGGGAAGGAAATGGACCCATTTCACCCCAAACTAGTGGGTATAACCAAGTCCTCCCCTCTCCCTAGAAATGTAAAAATCTTCTTTACCTACTTCATGCTTAATATGTTCATTGCTATAGCAATGTGTATTGATTAGCACAATCTATGTTGTCCTTAGCACAATCTCATCTGGCAAACACAACACTATATCTGGTTTCTCTAAAGCTGTAACAAGAATGCAGTGTAGCATGGAATTTTTTAAAAAGAGGCCAGTACTGTTTTGTGTATTATCCACATACAGCGGAGCTAAAAACATTGCTGTCAAAGACAACAGTAAGTGCACAGTGTAAAAATATTTCACTGATTCCACTTAAACTTAGTGAAAATATTCAGGTTGCAAGGGTGCACTAAATAATACAACTAAACTGCAGCCATCTCCAAGCAGTTGAGTACCTCAGGGGTTGCTGCTAGCCAAAGATAGGTAGTGGCTTGTGTTGGTAATGTTCACTGCCCACCAGGACTGGGAGGCATCTCAGTGCTTTTATATTATCAGGATGCTTTGGTGTCCTTCTAAGTAGGAAGTTCAGGGCAGAGTTTCAATTTTTCCTCATTTCAGAACTGCTCACTTCTAGGTTTCTTTCACCTTTGTCAGAAACAGGCTAATGGACTAGAATGCCCATTGATCTGATCTTGTACATCACAACTTCTGTCCCTAAAAATGTACCTCAAAAGCTGAGGGCCCAAACCAGTCATGAGGACTAGGAGTGAAATCTGACCTCAGTAATTTCAGTAGGACCATAATTTAACTCCACAAGAAAGAGCAAGCAAAAACTACTATGTCTATTTCATTCTTGTATAAATCCATGATACGGGGTCAAGAGCAAGAAGACAAGAAAAAGAGGAGAAATTTAAAAACCATGCCCATGCCCAGATAAATAAACTTTCAGTCTATAGATGCACTGGTTCATGGGAAGGACAGAAGAAACTTCACAGCAAATAGATTATGTATTATGTGATCTCTGCAGTGTACACCTCCAGGGAATTGTGCATGCCTCCTAATTGCCAAGTTCTGCACAGAAAAGTTAAGGAAGGATCTGATATAAAAGTTTTTTTTGGGGGGAGAGAGGGGAGCAGAGTTTAGTTTAAATGGGAAAGCTTTTGTGTTGAAAATACTTTTCAATAAATGTTTTATTTTGCAGTTGTTTTTTTTTTCAAAATTAATTTTTATTAGGAAATAATAGAATCATAGAAAAGTAGGACTGGAAAGGACCTCAGGAGATCATTTAGTCCTGCATCCTGATCAAAGCAGGATAATCTGTATCTGAACCATCTCATCCAAGTGGTTGTCTAATCCAGAGGTATAACCTTAAATATTGGTACCTGGGAGCAGAGTGGGGAAGAGCTAACACTTACTTCCTCTTGCAGGGGCTGCAACAGTGACAGGTGCTGCTGCTGCCTCAGGGCAAGCACCCCCAATATGGCTATGGTGGCAGCACAGGCACCCTCTGAATCATATCCCAGTCACCTTTACCTCCCTGCAAAGGTTACACTACTGGTCTAACCTAGTCGTAAAAACTTCCAAGAGTGGAGATTGCACAGCCTTTTTAAGTAATCTGTTCAGTGCTTCTCTGCCATTGTAGTTAGAAAGTTCTTCCTGATATCCAACCTAAATTTCCCATATTGCAATTTAAGATCATTACTTCTTGTTCTGCCTCCAGATGATGATGATAATGAGGATAAACAAAATAACAGCAAACAACCCACCAGAAACAACAATAGGCTCCCAAGGTGACACATTGTTCACCTGAACATACACCCCAGATGTATATTCTAAATCTTGAGATGTATATACTTAGGAATTTGGGGGAGTATAGACATTAGGCCACTTCTTGGCCTCTAGAAGGCTCAGATCAAGTGTAGTCTCTTTTAGATAGTGCTGTGACTGACACTGTGCCTACTTCTGGAGTACACCTGGCCTCGAGGCTGAGGTGAGTCCCAATGAAGGGGCAGGAGCAGGCCTGACCCACCTGGCCCCACAGCCTCCATCTAGCAGGCAGCGCTGCAGGCAGGCAGGCACGGCTCCACGCTGCTGCTGCTCAGGTGAGTGGGGCACCGGGGCTTCCCGCTGCCAAGCCATGCCCACTGCACCTGGGGCCGTATGGCTAGGGCTGGGGAGCTGGGCCCATCCTCTACTGTGTACGGAGCAGCACAGGTAGGCCATGGAGTTTTTATAGCAGGCTAGGGGTGGGGGGGCCTCAAAAAGAAAAAAAGGTTGAGAACCCCTGTTTTGGAGTTTGGTGCCCAAAAACTGGACACACGTGAGGCAGCACCAGGGTTTAATAGGGTGGAAGAATATTTTTTCAGTATTTTTAAATTGCTCCTAAATTGTGGAGTTTTGTTACCTTTCACCTAGCAAATGTCAGGAAACATGCACAGTATTGAATATTAAGTTTGCTTTGCTTGCTCAGTTCCATTTTCTGCTGTTAGAAAACAGTAAGGAAGTGTTGCAATGGTACTTTGATGTGTTAACACTTAAAAATGCAAATGCTATTTAGTAAATATGAAAAGTAATACTTTTTCACACTTCCTTACCATTTCCCAATATTTTCCCAATTGGAAAACATTAATAAAGTATGAAAAGTAGATTTTCCCAACTGAAAAAGTTGGGAAATAGTGAGAAAAAAAGTGATATTAAGGCTGGGGAGGAAACAGTTTCCCATTATTTTCAAAATTTCCTGTGGAAAAATCAGAATGTCCTGATAGTAAAATGTTGAAAAGAAATATTATCTGCAACATTTTCACAGGAAAATCCTGGTTCCCAAACACCTCTTTTTGTGTGGATGCACTGCTATGCACTTGATACCTAGTATAGGGCATTCTGCATGCAGGGTTGTAAAGAGGAAATATTGCTAAAACTTTAACTTTGAGTATTGTAATACCCCACAATACAAGTACAAAATATTTTCTTCTTGCTGATACTGAGTATAATTTTATTTCTGCTTATTTTATTTCTAGCACATCTTTTATCATATGCATGAAATCAAGGGACACTCAAAATGCACAGTTTAAGTCATTCAAGATGGTTTAAAATAATTTTTAAAACAAATAAAACACTACAGTTTGTAAGAGTTTCAACCACAAAAGATTTTATTTGTAACACTTCAGACGTTCGTTTAACTGAATATATTGAGTTCCTCATACAATACTCTTCAGTAAACATTGTCCGATAATGTTACAGTGCAAACAAATTGGCCAACAATAAATGTTGGCATGCTTTACACCATTGGCATTCAGTACAGATTATGAATCAGCAATAGCCAAAGTTTACTTGACTATTAAATCTGTGCATCAGATTGTGAACCTCTTGTTCACATCAATAAAAGCCACTGACAGGAGTAGCCCCACTGAAATAAATTTTTAAAAGATTATTTGCGTGACTGACTCACTCAATGGTGTGAGCAAAAGGGTGTGCAATCTGGCCCTTTATGAGCTGTTTTTCAGTACATTTGAAACTGAAACTGAGTAAGAGCTTAAAGTAACGGTATTAGCCTTAGTCTTTTCAATTGAATGAGTATCCATTATACCTTCATTTGCAGATTTTTTAAAATTCTCAGCATTGGCCTAACTCTGCTTTTATTAATCCCACGCAATGACTTCCCTTTCCTACTTTAATATTGAAAACAGGTATATTTCATCACAGCAAAATGATCTTAATTACAGTCCAAAACTAATACTGTTCATTTAAGTCGTCACAAAATATAAGTTCAATAAATAAATAACCCTTCTGAAAAAGAAATGTAAAAATTATGCATGTATATACTAAAGACCTACATACAAACTCACGTCCATGAATTTACCACATTTTATCAAGTATGGAAATGTATACACGTTATTACATGCATGTATAGCTTATTTTTAAAACACCAAATATTAATTAATTTTTAGAATCCCATTGTCTAGTGATAAATATGTTAATTATTGTTATTGTTTATTATTGTTTCAATTATTTGTATTGCATAAGTGGCCATAGGCTTCAGTAAGAAGACTGTTGTTCATGCATTTATTCACTCTTATCATTAAAAGGGTCCCCCACTCTGCCACGCTGAACTTACAGTCTATGTGTATGGCAAGAGAAAAGAAGTGAATACCACAAACAGAAAGAAGGAGCACAATAAACAATGTGGCAATTATAGTTAGTGTTACCACCAGAATTATGTTTAGTGGCATAGTGTTGCAGTATAACCTCATAAATCCTGCATGCTCAGAACTGAGCACCTGCTGGAAATTTGAAAATTCTGTTTTTTTTAAACCAGAGTGGTGGCCATATGTGGAGTGGCAGCACGGGGTGGTGGATGGTGTTGGCAGCCATTGCGTGCAAGCTTCCTCCTCCGCATCCAGG